TAGATAGATAGATAGATAGATAGATAGATAGATAGATAGATAGATAGATAGATAGATAGATAGATAGATAGATAGATAGATGTGTGAGTGTGTGTGTTTGTATACACTAGGTATATGGTATAAGATGTGGCTCCGTGATTGTAAAGTTTGACAATCCTAAAGAAAAGAAGATTAGGAGCGACATGATAACAGTGTTCCAGTATTTGAAGGACTGCCACAAAGAAGAGAAGGTCAAATTATTCTCCAAAGCACCAGGGGGCAGGATAATGGTTGGAAACTAATCAAAGAGAGAAGTAACCTGGAATTAAGAAGAAACTTCCTAACAGTGAGAACAATTAACCAGTGGAACAGCTTGCCACCAGAGGTTGTGGGTGCTTTGCCATTGGAGGTTTTTAAGAAGAGATTGGACAGTCACTTGTCTGAAATGGTATAGGTTCTCCTGCTTAAGCAGGGGGCTGGACTAGAAGACCTCCAAAGTCCTATTCCATTCCATTGTATTCTGTTATTCTATTCTATTTATGCCTATTCCATTTGGATGTTCTGTTCTGTTCTCTTATACTGTTTATATAATCTATTTATTATTAGTTTTGGTTAAACTGGTTTTCTGTAACAGGGGGGAATAGAACAGTTAAAAAGATGCGTTTTTAGTTCAGAGGGTGAAAAGGAAGATAAATTTTAAAAAACCTGTTTATTCTGCTTTACTTGCTATAGGTAGTCCTGGACCTTTGTTTACTGACAATTTGAAATTACAATGTCACTGAAAAAAGTGATTTATGACTAGTCCTCATACTTACAACCATCACAGCATCCCGATGGTCAAGTGATCAAAATTAGGACACGTGACAACTGGCATGTATTTATGATGATTGCTGGGTCCCACAGTCATGTGTGATTACCTTTTGCAACAAGCAAAGTCAATGGGGAAGCCAGATTCACTTAACAATCAGGTTAGTAACTTAACTATTACTAACTTAGCAACTGCAGTGATTCACTTAACAGCCGTGGCAAGAAAATGTGTAAAATGGGGCAAGAGCCACTTAACAACTGCCTCGCATAATCAACAAAACCTTTGGGCTCAACTATGGTTGTAGGTTGAGGACTACCTGTACTCTGATAACCCAAAGGTGCTTTTTTCAAGAGGCAACTGGACTATCTGGTTTTTCTTTGAAGACGTTTTGCTTCTCATCCAAGAAGCTTCTTCAGTTCTGAAGAACCACCTTCTCCAAGAAGCTGAAGAAGCTTCTTGGATGAGAAGCGAAAAGTCTTCAAAGAAAAACCAGAAAGTCCAGTTGCCTCTTGAAAAAAGCACCTTTGGGACAACTATGACCTGGATGGCTGAGAATCTCAACAGACAAGATCAGATAAAGGTTGTCGCTCATTTTCCTCTGTCTGAATCTGTCCTTGTTGCTCTTCAACTTTCAGGAATTCTTTGAACGATGACCTCTTGCTGCCCTATCTCCCTCCCCAGCATGGCCCACAGCATCATCACCGCTACATCCGAGACTGCCAGGCTCTCCTGCGGGGCAATGCGACGCATGAAACCTGGCCCAGCGACAACAGCAGTGCCTCCCCTCTGGCTCTTACACATACATTTGTTTCGGACTTCCCCCTGCACCATCCAAATGGCCGCCTGGTGTATGGACACTTGACGATTGTGCGAGACCCCCTGAGGACTTTTTCTGTCCTAGAGCCCGGAGGACCGGGGGGGTGCCACCTCCACCGCAGAGCTACTGTGGAAGAGACGGTGAGCCGAAGTCAGTGCCTTGTGGCCCAGAATGGGGGCTTTTTCAATACAAAGACTGGAGCATGTTTAGGGAACATTGTCAGCGATGGGCAGCTGGTACAATCTGGTGGAGTGCAGAATGCTCAGTTTGGTATCCGGAAAGATGGCACTTTAGTCTTTGGGTAAGTGTTGGCATGCTCTTTTTTTATTTTTGTTGTTGTTGCTAGTTGCGAAGTCGTGTTCAACCCATCGCGACTCCATGGACAACATTCCTCTGGAGTCCATTTAAGCTCACACTGACTGCTTCGGTGACTCCATCCAGCCACCTCATTCTCTGTCGTCCCCTTCCTCTCTTGCCCTCAATCTTTCCCAACATGAGGCTCTTCTCCAGGGAGTCCTTCTTCCTTCTCATCAGGTGGCCAAAGTCTTTGAGTTTCATCTTCAGGATCTGGCCTTCTAAAGAGCAGTCAGGGTTGATCTCCTCTAGGACTGACCGGTTGGATGGCCTTGCAGTCCAAGGGACTTGCAGGAGTCTTCTCCAGCACCACAGTTCAAAGGCCTCCATTCTTTGGCGCTCAGCCTTCCTTATGGTCCAACCTTCACAGCCATCCATTGCAACTGGGGAAACCATAGCCTTGAATATACGCACTTTTGTTGGCTGGGTGATGTCTTTGCTTTTTAGTATGTTGTCTAGTACTGCAACTCCTTGTTTAGTGACCAGAATTGAGACCAGCATCTGGATTCTTAAGTGAAGCAATTGTTAAGTGAAATTGTGACTGTGCTTATGGATTTGTTACTTTTTCATTCATGACTTACAACTTGTCTTTTCATGACTGTTTGGCATTTCAGTGGCATTGGGATGGGTGTGTTCTGGTCCATCTTTGATGATGGCTTTTGGCCTTCATAAAATATTGTCATTCCCCCCATGCCCCCCCAAATCACTTGACCACATTTCAGACACTTGGCAAGTGAGTTGCTACTCACAGCATCCCTGCAATCACATAGCCATAATATGCGATGGTTTTTTGCCAGTTTTTGCCTTTTTTTTTGTTTGTGGCTGGTGTCTGGAAGAATGGGTTCGCTTACTGTATGTGATTTACTTAATAGCCATAGTGATGTCCACTGTCGAAAATGGTCTCATCATCTCAGTGTCTCAACTTACAGCTGGATTTCTACTTCCAATTGTGGTCATAAACAGTAAATCTGTAATTGGTAACAGTCACTAATGAAGCCGGCACTAAACAAGGATTGCCAGTAACCGTTGTTCTGACCTAGGCTTCCTGAGAGTATGAGCAGACTCCTTGTCCTGACCAAAAAAAACCCTTTTATTAATTGACTCTGAATTCTGCTCACTCACGTCCAGCAAAGACTTTCAAGGGAGGATTTACAGTCACAGACCTTATCTGGTTTGGAGAGTTGCCAGGTTGATAGCTTCAAAATGCAACACTGTATTTGGCAAGGAGTCTTGGAGAGTCACGGACCAATTAACGAACTAATTGTCTCCTGCAAACTCCACTCCCCTTTTGCTCCTCTTTTATTTCCTCTGGGAGGGGCCATCCATCGTCTACCTGTGGCCTTCCTTCCAAGTCGACCTCTGTTCTTTAGCTGTTCCCTTCGTCTGGCAACACTGCACATGCGGACACTGGCAACAGGCTCCAGCTGTTCTTCTGCCTCACTGATGTCTGACTCCGAAGGCAGCTGATAACTGGCATACGGCTCTGGCCCCCTCTCTGCCTGCGACTCAGAACCCGCATCAGGTTCTGCTCCGCTGGCAGGCCACAACCACCGTTTTGGCTTCCCTGGAATTTTTTAGTCTGTTTTTTTGCTTGTCTCTTCCAGCTACCTGTCTGAGGAGGAGGTCTTGGCTACGGAGAACCCATTTGTGCAGCTAGTCAGCGGAGTGGGCTGGATTCTGCGAGACGGAGAAGTCTACCTGAATCAGAGCCAGGTGGCAGAATGCGACAAGACTCAGGAATCAGGTACCAGGCTGAAGGCGCAACCCTCACCCCCCACTCCACCCCTTGAAGTTTCAGGAGAATGGGTCTAAACCAGGGGTCCCCAACAGGGGCCATGGATCGGCACTGCGCTGCTACATGCCAGAAACCAGTCCGCGCAAACAAACAAAGCCCCATCCACAGGATTCAGGCAGCGCACAAAACCACACCCCTTCCGGTCCGTGGGAAAACTTCTCTCCGTGGAACCAGTTCCTGGTTGGGGGCCATTGCTCTAAACCACAGGTGTCCTTTGGACTTTCCAGAGTTAGGATTGAGTGAAGAGGAATTGCCTTGGGTTTCATTTATTTATTTACAATTGAATTTATATTGCCGCCTGTTCTCCCGTGGCAATTGAAGGCGGCTTCCAAAGTATAAAACCCCATTTAAAACAGTAAAACTAATAAAGGGGCTTTCAGACGGCACTTGGCGTTGTACCTGATGCTCTCGTCCACAGTCCGGTTGAGGCCTTGGTCGCTGCTTGGAACTCAATAGCGTCGGAGGCTCTCAACCGGATTGTGCCTTTACGGCCTATCTGAGGCAGTGGATCCAGGAGGGCTCCTTGGTGTACTGAGGATCTCCGGGAGATGAAACGCCAAAAGAGACGCCTAGAGCGCCACTGGAGGTCCAGTAAGTCCAAGTCAGACCGAGCACTGTTAAAAACCTACATCAGAGCCTACCTTCTGGCAATTCGGACTTCTAAAAACACATATATTGCCGTTCTGATTGCATCCGCTGAGTCGCGCCCAGCCGCCTTGTTCAGGATAACCCGCTCCCTCCTGAAAGGGAGGGATACGGGCAACCCTTTACGAGGTAGAGCTGAGGAATTTGTCCAATTTCTCGCAGATAAAGTTGCTCGGCTTTGGGCAGACCTGGACTCCAATTGCGCAGAGCCAGCCGAGGTACCGGGGGAGGGTCTTGAGCGGCATCTATGGATTGATTTTCAACTTGTTACTCCTGAGGAAGTGGACAAGGCCATGGGAGTAGTGAGTGCCTCCACGTGTGTGCTGGACCCGTGTCCCTCCTGGCTGGTCGTGAACAGCAGGGAGGTGACACGGGGCTGGATCCAAGTGATAGTTACCGCCTCCCTTTGGGAGGGGTTCTTCCCCCCCCCCCCTAAAGGCGGCAGTAGTGAGACCCCTCCTGAAGAAGCCGTCTTTGGATCCAGCCATTCTAAATAACTATCGTCCAGTCTCCAACCTCCCCTTTGTCGGGAAGGTTGTTGAGAAAGTGGTGGCCTCTCAGCTCCAGCGGTACTTGGATGAAAGCGATTATCTAGACTCCTTTCAGTCTGGATTCAGGCCTGGCTACAGCACGGAAACTGCTTTGGTCGCACTGACAGATGATCTCTGGAGAGCCAGGGACGGGGGTCATGCCTCCGTCCTAGTGCTCCTTGACCTCTCAGCGGCCTTCAATACCATCGACCATGGTATCCTTCTGCGACGGTTGCGAGAGGTGGAGGTGGGAGGCACCGTTCTTCGGTGGTTCTCCTCCTATCTCTCGGACAGGTTGCAGTCGGTATTGGTCAGAGGGCAGAAGTCGACCCCTAGGCTCCTTAATTATCAGGTGCCGCAGGGTTCGGTCCTGTCCCCCCTCCTGTTTAACATCTACATGAAGCTGCTGGGTGAGATCATTCGGCAGCACGGGATAAAATATCACCAGTACACGGACGATACACAGCTGTATCTGTCCAGTGAAGCGGTTGACGTGATGTGTCAGTGCCTGGAGGCTGTTAGGGTCTGGATGGGGGTAAACAGGCTTGTACTCAATCCTGACAAGACCGAGTGGCTTGTGTTTTTCCCTCCCAATAATTGGCCATGTATTCCATCTCCCAGGCTGGGGGATGAAATTATACACCCCTCAGAGAGGGTTCGCAATTTGGGAGTCCTCCTGGATCCACAGCTGACTTTAGAACATCATTTGTCGGCTGTGACCAGGGGGGCATTTGCCCAGGTTCGCCTGGTGCACCAATTGCGTCCCTACCTGAACCGGGAGGCTCTCGCAACAGTCACTCACGCCCTTGTGACCTCAAGACTGGACTACTGCAATGCCCTCTACATGGGGCAGCCCTTGAAGAGCATTTGGAGACTTCAGCTTGTCCAGAATGCAGCCGTGCGAGAGATTGTGGGTGCACCTCGGTACACCCACGTTACACCTATCCTCCGTGAGCTGCACTGGCTGCCTATCGGTCTCCGGATACGCTTCAAGGTGCTAGTCGTCACTTATAAAGCCCTACATGGTATTGGACCTGGGTACTTGAGAGACCGCCTTCTGCCAATTACCTCCCAAAGACCTATTAGATCCCACAGATTAGGCCTCCTCTGAATTCCATCCGCTGGCCAATGCCGGCTGTCGACCACCGGGAGGAGGGCCTTCTCTGTGGCTGCTCCGGCCCTCTGGAACGATCTCCCCGTGGAGATCCGTACCCTCACCACCCTTCAGGCTTTCCGCAAAGCCGTCAAGACCTGGCTGTTCCGACAGGCCTGGGGCTGATGAGTTCCCATCCCCACTCGAACTGTGTGGCTGTTAACTGTTTTTAAATTGTTTCCGTATTTTGTTTGCTTGCCATTTGCTTTTTTCTTTCTGTATTATTCCCTTCCCTTTTGGTTTGTTAGCCACCCTGAGTCCCTCCGGGAATAGGGCGGCATACAAGTGTAATAAACCTTGAACCTTGAACCTAAAAAAGACTCCAATAAATTAATATAATAAAATCACCTCCCGCCCCAGCAATAGCAGCTCACGCGAGTCTTTTCATGGGCTCCATCCCACTCTGCGTTCCCCAGGCCCGCTGGCAGAACCAGGTCTTCAGCACCTTCCGGAAGAGTATTAGAGTGGGGCCCTTCTAATGTTCTGGGGAATAATGTTCCAGACAGCCCTTCTTATAGTCTCACCAGATACCATATTTTTTGGAATATAAGATGCACCAAAATTTGGAAGAAGCAAATTAAAAAAAAGGTTTTACACTCTGCAGACCTCCCAAAAATGACCTGTTTTTCATGAAAACGGGCCCATTTTTTGTCAAAAAAAGCATAGCCTTTAGGAGGCTTGTAGAGTGCTGCGGGGGGCAGGGGGCAAAATGAGCAAAAATTGGTCCATTTTCACTCATTTCTGCCCTCCCCAGCCCCCAGGAGCACTCTGGAAACCTCCTAAAGGCTCTGCACGGCCATTTTTACAAAGGGGCAGGGTTTCAGGAGGCCAAAAATGCTGCATTCAGTGTATAAGATGCACCCAGATTTTCACCCTCTTTTTTTGAAGGAAAACTGTGCGTCTTATACTCTGAAAAATATGGTATATCTCCCTTGGGGATGGGACCCACAACATTCCCTGCTCTGATGAGTTGGGTAGATGTGACCTCGGATCCCAGCCATGAAGGGCTTTAAAGGTGACAACCAGCACCTTGAATTGCACCCAGAAGCAAATCGGCAGCCAATGCAGCTCCCGCAAGAGAGGTTATACATGTGCACACCTGGGTCTGCACAAAACCACGCGGGCCGCCCATGGAAGGGTTGCATATAAAATATACTTTAAAAATCACATAATGTTGATGATGATAACCCTTTAGTCGCGTCCAACTTTTGGCAATTCTATGGCCCAGATGTTTCCAATGTCTTCCAGTCTTGCACTATTACTTTGAGCTGTTCTACGCTCAGGCTGGGGAACCAGATTTCAGACCCCCCAGTGAGACTGGCAACTTTGGAAGGATAGTGAGGTGGTCTTTGTCCAGGGAACCCCCAACTTGACAGCTTTAGAAGACTTGTGGACACACAGCTCCCAGAATTCTTGCTGACTGAGGAATTCTTGGAGTTGAAATCTGCAAATCTTAAAAGTTGCTAAATTTGGAGACCCCGGGTCTTATTGGTAGATTCACAAAGTGGCCAGTGGGATGGACCTGGCCAGTCTTGGAACCATCCTTTGCCCAAAGACAATTCATGATGTTGCTTTTCCTACCCAATTCCCTACAAGATGTCCTTTTTTTTTTGCCACCTGCTTTAGTGTGCAAAACTGAGCGGTGGGTCATTGTCTAAGATGCTGAGCTTGTTGATCAGAAAGGTCGGCGGATCGAATCCCTAGTGCCGCGTAATGGAGTGAGCTCCCGTTACTTGTCCCAGCTTCTGCCAACCTAGAAGTTCAAAAGCATGTAAAAATGCAAGTAGAAAAATAGGAACCACCTTTGGTGGGAAGGGAACAGCATTCTGTGCGCCCTCGGCATTTAGTCATGCTGGCCACATGACCGCTGTCTTCGGACAGCGCTGGCTCTTCGGCTTTGAAATGGAGTTGAGCACCGCCCCCTAGAGTCAGGAACGACAAGCACACATATGTACGAGGTGAACCTTTACCTTAGTGCAGTGGTTCTCAACCTGTGGGTCGGGACCCCTTTGGGGGTCGAACGACCCTTTCACAGGGGTCACCTAAGACCATCAGAAAACACATATTTTCGATTTTTTATGGTTGGGGGTCACCACAACATGAGGAACTATATTAAAGGGTCACAACATTAGAAAGTTGGAGACCCACTGCCTTAGTGTAATCTTGTTCATTAATTTGAGAAGGTGGCCTGTTTCAATATATTAGGATACAATAACAACTGGCTGCTAATTTTATTTCCCAAGAATAATTATAGCTCCTCGGAGCGTGGTAAAGATTGTAGGTCTTGAGCATATGTTTTCCATTGGGGGGAAAAATAGTTCAGATGGTTAGAGACCTGTTGTGTGGCAAGGAAGATGGTGGTGGGAGCCCCCCCCCCCCCCCCCCCATAAAATCAAGCCCAGCCTTCACCATTGGTCCCCAGGATGACCCCCATCCCCCACATTTTTCCACCTATCAACATATGAGGACTAGAAGGAAGGAATGCAGCGATTCCTTGACGTAGGACCATTTCGTTTAGCGACTGCTTGAATTACATCGGACAAACATTAATTGCAACCCAAACTTGCAATCATGGCCGTTGCAA